TTGCTAATTTGCAAATTTTCCCGCCATTACGGTCCCGAGCCAACGGGAGTATAACATGTCGCGCGCTCGCTTGGCGAACAGGTTAAATACTTTTGTAATGGATTTAAGTTTTATATCACCATTAATAATATATTTTATTTCCTTCAGAAATATCAAGTTATGATAAATAAGAAACAATTTTAAAACTAAAAAGTTTTATATAATTACCTCCGCTCTTATCCCGTTCCTTCTCTTTTTCTTTTTCATTATTACGTTCTGGAGGAGGTGGTGGTGGGGCTTGTTGTTGTTGTGGCTGAGGTGTACCACTTTCTTTATCCCCTGTTCGTATGGACTCAATAGCTGGTGAAGGTTCTTCTTTTGCTATTCCATTTGTATTAACTTCAAGGCAAGATACTGAAAAGTATATAAAATTGTTAATCATATATTTTATGTATAAAACTAAGATAAATTTAAACAGTAACTTATTACTTTGGTAAATTTTATTTACCAATTTCATAATTATTAACATTGCACTAGTACTAACAGTAAAAACAATTCAGTAGTTTTTGTGATAATGCTTTAGAATTCCGTAGCACAAGGGTGTGAGAGGGAGGAGGTTAACTTTCCCTTGAATTTAAACTTAAATTTTGATAATTTCATATTTGAAAGAAAAATAACATAAGCATTATAACTCCAAACAATAATAAAACTTTAAAAGCAATCTTGAAAACTACATATTTCTGCATAAAAAGCTACTAGCTTGTGCATCTAAGCATTATTGTATATTGATCAAGAGAAAGCTAGGAATTTAGAAGTTTATTATACTTACTAAGGTTTTTATGGTCGGCATCAAGTGACCTCTGTTTATTGTCAATAAGATCCTGAAGGATCTGTACAACTTGCAATTTTTCATCACCAATTTCTTGTGCTGCTACAAGCGCAGCTTGCAAGCGTAAGGCAGCTCGACTGCGACGTCTCTCTTCAGTATTTGGCCCTATGCATACACCTAAATGTGTTTCTGCATCACGAAGACATTCTGAGAAAAAAATACAATCAACTAAAAGAATATCATTCAACCTGGATTATGTATAATTATATATAAGGTTGGGTTAAAATTATATACTTATTATATGAAAATATGTTGATAAATAGCCAACAAATTTTTCATGTCAAACATATTTTTGAAATCATGACAGAAGATCTTTAAGAAATTATAGTAAATTTATGATAGTCCGTAGCCACCTCCGAATAAGTACAATGCTGAGTTATTTCGGAATCTATTTCTTCCCAAGTCATGTCTATACTGCGTATGCGTATACAATGCATAGAAACAGAAAACGTCAACATAACGTAAATAATGTTATGAGCAAAGTTAATACAATTGCAATTATATTTTTGATGATTTTAAATTAATTATTAATCTGAGGAGCAAATAAAAATATAAGAATTACCTCTATAAGTTACGTCGAGCTCTCTCATACGCGATAAATGTCGCTGCAAATCATTTGGAAGATTTTCAACACAATCTAAGTAATTCTCAACGTAGGTAGCCGATAAAGCTGCTTCCGTAGATGTTGAACTCAACATGGTTAAATATTTAATTCAGTTTTCATTATTACAACACAGAGAAATCTAAAAATTTAAACACTTTCAAAACTAAACAAGTTCTATAGTACTCAACAGCCGTCACAAGCTTGATAGATGTCGATGGTAAGTTCAGAAACTTGAATTTTCTTTTTGGATTAGCAAAATACACCATAGACAAATTAGCAGGAATGAAAATGTATTTGTGACATGAATACATCTATCCACAAACTAATAAGTGCATCTAGCATCATTCTATCCATGAAGGTTAGAGAACAGGAGAACGATCGCCGTAGAAAATAGTGTCCCAGAAATATGGACACCATAAGTGAGGCGCTGTGATCACTAAGTTCGGTCGATAAAAGTCATTTTCAGTCTATTTTTCCGATCAGATGCTAAACCACTTGCACATCAACGCACAATAAAATATTTCTCCATTTGTTAATGTTTCTTTTTGTCAAAAATTACAAAATTACGGAGCATGAAAATTTTCTCATTAAAAATGAAATGAAAATTTGTACATTATTCAACTAACTTCATTTACTTGTAACTACTTGTACCCATACTGCTAACTTCGCAGTCACTACTCACCGACGTCAGCGCCGCTATATATTCTACAATTTTCAAGGACAGACGGGCTGTGCTTTAGTACGTAGTGATGTTCTCCTGTTCTTTAACCTTCATGATTATATCTGCGTTTTTGTATATGTTTAGTACATTCATATTTTTACTTCCTTTCATGTTAGTAATTTAATTATTTTCTATTCTAGTAACTATTTATTTCGTTATCTGTATCGAGGAACATACATAATACGGAGAAGATCGCTACGTGCTAAAGCATTATTAGCCCGCATGTCCCTGAAAATTTGTAGAATTTTTAGCCACGCTGCCGTCGGTAAGTAGTATCTGTGAAGTTAGCTCTTTATGAGTAAGTAGATGAAGTTAGTTGAATAACGCACAAATTTTCCTTGCGGCATTAGTGAGAAAAAAATCGTACTCCGTAATTTTTAAATTTTTGACAAAAAGAAACATTAAAAAATGGTGAAATATTATAAATTATAATAATACCTAATATATAGAAACCAAAATAAAAATCTCTACTTTGAACAAACCGAAATGGATTTCAAAGGGCATTAAATTATGTAGTAAAAAACGTTGTAAGCTCCTGTGGAAATATCGACTATCTCCGTCACCAACAAATAAATTAATATTTACTAACTATAGTAGAAGGTACAAGAGAATAATTAATCTTACTCAAAAGGCACAGAATGACTATTATATAGCTCAGTCAAAAAATAAATCCCAAGCAACGTGGAAGATAATTAATAAGTATAATAGCAGCCTTCCTAAAGAACAGATTAACAGTATATTAAGTAACGATAAAGAGATAACTGAACCGACAGAAATTGCGAACGCCTTTAACGACTTTTTTACAAACTCATTGGAAACAGTCGATAAGGACAAGCCCGAACCTACTTCTATTCCACATAGTCAACGTAACTCAATTTTTTTGACCCCAATAATACCCTTAGATGTTGTTAAATCTATTAATTTATTAAAAAATACTAATAGTGTAGGTTTTGACAATGTTTCCACTAAGATTATTAAAACAGTAGGGAATATAATAGCTCACATCTTGTGCTACATTATAAATTTATGTTTAGAACAGGGAATATTTTCAGATATATTGAAATTGGCAATTACTATCCCAATATTCAAAAAGGATGACAACAAGCTGTTAAAAAAACTATCGTCCTATTTCACTAATTTCAATATTTTCAAAGTTAATAGAACACATTATATATAAAAAAATAAACGATTACTTTGAAACCAATAATCTATTTTCGAAGCATCAATACGGCTTTCGAAAAGATAAATCCATTAGTATGGCTATATACGAGTTTTTGGAAAGAGTCGTAAAAAACGTTAACAACCGAAAGCCTACACTAGCACTATTTATGGATATGACCAAAGCATTTGACAACATTAATCATAAAACATTACTTAACAAACTAGAAAGGTATGGTATAAGAGGCAACGCCCTTAAGCTAATCGAATGTTACTTAAGTAATAGAAGACAAATTACACATATAACCAAAATTGACTCTAAGACCGGTGAAAATAAAATATACAGATCGAAAGAGCGTCAAGTAAACTATGGAGTACCACAGGGAAGTGTACTGGGCCCTCTCCTTTTTATTATCTATATAAATGATTTTCCTAATGTAATCAACCATCATATGACTATTTTTGCTGACGATAGTACTGTTTTATTTACTTATGATAATGAGAATAATATAAATATTGACATTAATAATACATTGACATCTTTATTCAAATGGCTGACATTAAATAACCTAACAATTAATTTGACAAAAACACATGTAATAAACTTTAAACAAAGAAATAATTATCCTTTAAATTTTGACATTAACTACTCTGGGAATTCAATTAAAGAGGTAGACACTACAAAATTTTTGGGTTTGACTATAGATAATAAGCTGACATGGAAACCTCATATTAATAATCTAATTAAAAAACTAAACCAATTCTCTTATGCCCTTTATAAACTAAGGAAGGTTTCCAGTGTTAAAACTCTTCTAACAGCCTATCACGGATATGTTGCATCAAACTTAAGGTATGGAATAATATTTTGGGCCAACACAACTGAAAAACAAAGTGTCCTCAAAGCGCAAAAAAAGTGTGTTAGATCGATGTTCGGTCTAAATCAGGATGATTCATGTGAACCGTACTTTCGCAAATATAAAATTCTGACTCTACCGTGTATGTATATATATGAGGTTGCAAACTTTGTTCGAAATAACCCAATTTATTTTGAAATGAATACTGCCGGAAGTCGTCGTGAAGGAACATTGAAAGTTAATCACAAATGCAAACCACTTCTTCGAAGAATGTGTGTAAATTGCATGGCACCAAAAATCTATAATAAAATCCCGTTAAATATACGATTAATTAATGATATCAAAAGATTTAAAACTGCGCTCAATGGCTTCCTTGTTGAAAAAGTGTACTATGACATAAGAATATTTTTTGATGACAAAATGTAAAAATATACTTCAATTTTGTTCATATACCTCTAAGGTGAAACATGGCTGTATCTTATAATAATTTTATATGTGACATCCTGTAATACCCATGCTTATGAATTAATAAATGTTTGATTTGATTTGATTTGATTTGATTTGAATAATAATTAATAATAAAGGCCTAGGGAAATGACGACCCCGTCGCCCGCTGACGTAACAGTTAAGTGACAAAACTGCTACGTCAACGTAGTCAGTCAGCGCCTTGCGAGACGTGTGAGCGCCGTGCCTCGGCAGAATTTAGGGTGCAAAGGCCCGTTTGTGCTTATGGCCGGACACGATACGGTGTCAGGCCTATACATCTCTCGTTAATAGACGCCCAAATAATGGATGATGGACACAAAGATAGTGTGCAAAGGGCCGCTGGCTGGAAGTCGCCAGGGCGTGTCTGGAGCTAGCGCTGGACGCGACAACATGCGGGCCTCCAGCCGAGCGCGGGGTGCTACAAGACCACCTAACAGTCCCCCGTATCCATCATCCCCACCGGAAGGCTTGGTGTCGGCTGGTTCTTCTCGGACTCAGCAAGCGACACCCGCCGCTGGTGGAGCACGTCGGATGCGTTGGTCACAAATAATGAACGCAAACGAACTGCGGTCGTACTTTAGTGCAAAAGGGGAAGAAACTGGATGTTTGGCGTATCGGGCTCGGATGCATCGGTTTTTTGCAGAGCTGGAGTCATCTCTATCTGCCACTGAGCAAAACCTGGCAGACCGAGTTCGGTACATCCTACGCTCCAACATATTTGGCGATGCCGAACTCGAACGACTACGACGTGAGGCTGTTCCCTCATCGGATGGGAATGCTACGGCTGGGAATGCGGTGCCACTAATTGCGAAGCAAACTGCGTATGTGGATGCTGTCGTGGATATTCCATTTGTGGTTGATTCAGACGATGATGGAATAGTCCCCCACGAACTAGAGAAAATGAGGAGCATATTGGAAGAGTCGATGCTGGAAACGCGCAATAAACCTCTAGAAAATCAATCGCAACTTCCCCGCATACCCCTAAGCAAGCAGAATCGGGCTGTCGTGCGGGCTCTTAACCCAATGCTGGCAACCTATTTGGAAACCAGCCGGGACCTTTGCGAGACGGACTCGATTATTTTTGGCGCCGCACTGGCAGTATGCCGTATTATTGGCGCCAAACTTCCCATGGCTGGACGTGCTACTCGACAAAGTGTCGCCATCCCAGCCTGGAGAAAAAGAATCGAGGACCGTATCACAAAGGCAAGAGCCCTTATCGGCAGACTGACAAGCTTCAGGTTGGCTAATAATAGACCGAGGGTTGTGCGCACCGTTAGAATGGCATTTGGACAATATATTAGTTTGTCCCAGCCGGATTTCACACAGAAACTTATGGAGCGCATAGATGAATTGAATCAAAAAATCGCTGCTTGGGGGAAGCGGATTCGACGATTTAGCGAGAGGTCTAGGCGATTCAACCAGAATCTTTTCTTCCAGAGTGATCAAAAGAGGCTCTATAAATCATTGGAGTGACCAGAGGTATGAGGCCCAGGACCGGATCAGGCTGACACTGTCGCATTTTGGCGTGGCCTGTGGTCAGAGCCCGTAAACCACAGCGAGGGCCCCTGGATGGAAGTTGTGGTGAGCCAGAGTGCGAGTGTTACGCATATGGACCCCGTCACCATAACGCCGGAAGACGTGGCTGAGGCGTTCCGTAGGACCCCGAACTGGAAAAGTCCGGGGCTTGACGGGCTGCATCATTACTAGCTGAAAGGGTTCGTAGTGTGTCACGCTGTGCTCGCCCGACAGAATCAAGAGGCTCTCGATCAGAAGTCGTTCCCGAGCCTCTTCACTACTAGGATCATTCACTTGGTTCTTAAAGATCAGAATACCACAGACCCGAGCAAATACTACCCCATCACGTGTCTACCCACCATATATAAAACACTGACATCCATTTTGAGCGCGAGAATCACTCGCCACCTGGTGGTAAATCAAGTGATATAACGCGGATGTCGGGGCGGTGGTCATGGAACCAAGGAACCACTTCTCATTGACGCGGTCATTGGCAAAGTGGTGAAACGCAACTACTACAGAAAGGTATTCGACCCGGTGCCCCATACATGGCTGAAGAGTCTTCGAGCTGTACAAGATTGACTGTACAGTTAGAGACTTTCTTGGGCAGTGTATGGGGCAGTGGAGTACGATCTTTTGTCATCTGGGCGAGCGGATGATGGCTGCGGAGAACCACATAAGGATAAGAAGGGGTATCTTCCAGGGCGATTGTCTGAGTCCAATCTGGTTCTGCCTCTCTCTGAACCCTTTCAGTACCTTACTGGAGGGTTCCGGGAGCGGATTTCAGCTACGGAAGGCATGGACAAAAGTGATCCACCTTTTCTATATGGATGACCTCAAGTTATTCGCCTCCAGTCGCTCCCATCTTATGGAATTGCTAAACATCACTTGTGAATTTAGCAATTCTATTGGAATGGAGCTGGGGACGAATAAGTGTGCGGTCTTCCATGTTGAAAGGGAAAGGGTTGCTAGGGAAGCTCCACGTGTGGTACTACAGGGCTCTACATGAGCCCTTCATAGATACAATCACCTCCCTCAAATGGCTATGTTTCGGTGACCTCTTCGGGGAAACCGAGGGTTTTGTCTGTGCAATACAGGATTAGTTTATTAGGACCAACAACTATCGGAGATATATCCTAAAGGATGGCACCGTCGATGTCTTTCGTCCATTCCATCCCGGGGAGTCACTTAGGCATGTCATCTCCGGTTGTTCGGCGCTTTTTAACTCTGAGTACTTGCACAGGCATAACCTAGTAGCCAGAATTATACACCAGAAGCTCGCTCTGAAATACGATTTTATGGACCGAAAATTGCCATATCACTAGTACTTGCAATAAGCCGTGCTCGAAAATGATCGCGCCAGGCTCTACTGGGACCGAGCCATCATTACAGACCGGACTATTCTTGCGAATAAGCCTGATAATGTGCTGATAGACCGGGCACAGTCAAGGATATTACAATTCCATCATATTACCATTTTGGTCGATATTACCATTCCGTACGACGAGAACCTCGTGCAAGCCGAAACAGATAAGCAATCAAAATATCTGGACCTGGCTCACGAGGTGACCGACATTTGGGGTGGTCTGCTGACCGAAATTATTCCTGTAGTCGTGTCTGCAAACGGGTTAATCCCAGCCAGCCTCTCGGGTCGTCTGAATCGGCTGGGACTCCGTGACGGACCGCTCTGGGGTCAAATGCAACGGTGCTCCTCGATACCGCCCGCATCGTCCGCCGGTTTCTTTCCCTTTCCTCCTAACCCTCGGCCGTCTGGTCTCCACTGCCTAAGGGCTTCCATCTGGTTGGACTTTTATTTATTTATGTATTATTTATTTATTTATGTTATCATATCATAAATCATAATCATAAATCATAAACACTCACGCCTGTCACCCAGAGGGGTAGGCAGAGACTACGGACTTCCATTTGACACGATCCTGACATACCTCTTTCGCCTCCTTTACATCCATATATCTACGCATACATGCTCGTCGGTTAAGGGTACTTTTAACGTGGCCCATTTTCAAAATATCGCCAATTTGGTCGATAAACTTTTTTCTAGGAAGTCCCTTCCCGACTCTGCCGTTCACATCTGCCATATAAATTTGCTTTGCTTTCTTATTTATATTAGTATATTAAATATATATTTATGTATATTTATCATTTCCTTTTATATATTTATCCAGCCCAACCAAATGTAATTACTGTATCAATAACCCCCATTAATAATATGTGTTTGTTATAATTTATAATATTTATAGTAATTAAAATCATAAAAACATAATTTATAATTTATTTATTAATAAATAATAATAATAATTTCGTTATTTTCTTTTGTTCTTTAGATGATATTATATACACGTTTATTAAACGTTGATAGATCATTTCAAACTAGCGCACAACAGCCCGCTTTTATTGAGACGATTTAGCGGTCGCAGCTTCTCATTTACATTGTCCATATTTCTGGAACACACTTTTTTCTACGACGATCGTTTTCCTTCACTCTAACCTCCATGAGTGTAGAGGTAAGGAGTGCAGACTCTATATAAAAAAGTGTCCGTAGGAAAGCGCTAAATAACGGTGGCGCCACTGTAGCTACAGTCTAAATTTTAAAGAACTCTTTATAATTTTTTTATTGCACAGACTTTCACCATAATTCTTTATAAATAATTATTTTATTGCTTTCAAAATTTTTATTTTCAAAATCACTCTCAACATATTTTAAGGCGATTTATCATAACCTATAGTGCAGGTACTCAAGCGCTGTTGTGGAGACTTTTTGAACTGTTATTTACTGCTTACGGATGGACACATTTTCAACTATTCTCCAATGGGAGATTTTACTCCTTACCCCTATACTCCATGATAGAAAGGATCAAAGATAGACTTGTTTAATGACAAATTTTGTACATATTCTTGGATTTTGTTGTAAAAACATTGCCCCATAAATGAATTACTAATTCTGTGGAGTCTAGTAACTGATATTACAAGCTTATGTTTGTTCCTAGTGTTTAAAGTATGAACATCTTTATTCATACAAGATTTATTTATGTTTTTATGTACATACATACATCCGGTACTTGAAGTCCTTCAGAAGCTCTTCAATTCCGTCCTCCATGGTGGCACTACTCCGGAGGCGTGGAGCAGAAGCGCGGTGGTCTTGTTCTTTAAGAAAGGCGACAACACTCTCTTGAAGAACTACAGACCGATTTCCCTCTGAGCCGCGTCTACGTGCTGTTTTCGAGAGTCATTACGAATCGTCTCGCACGCAGACTCGACGACTTCCAGCCTCCCGAACAAGCCGGTTTCCGAAAAGGCTTCAGTACCATAGACCACATACATACCCTTCGGCAAATTGTACAGAAGTCCGAAGAGTACAATCTGCCACTTTGCCTAGCGTATGTGGATTATGAGAAAGCCTTTGATTGTGAGGCGTGCTACAGTCTCTTCAGCGGTGCCTAGTTGACTGTCGGTATATTGAAGTGCTAAAGTGTTTGTACAGTAGGGCTACGATGGCTATCCGAGTACAGAACCAGAGTACGAAACCTATCCAACTGCAGAGAGGTGTAAGACAGGGTGATGTTATATCCCCGAAACTCTTCACCGCTGCGTTGGAAGACGTTTTCAAGCTACTGGACTGGAAAGGATACGGTATTAACATCAATGGCGAGTACATCACTCACCTTCGATTTGCCGACGATATAGTCCTTATAGCAGAATCGCTGGAGGACCTTAGCACTATGCTCAATGACCTCAATGGTGTCTCCCAACGGATAGGTCTTAAGATGAACATGGACAAAACAAAGATCATGTTTAATGTCCATGTCACACCTATGCCGGTAGTTGTTGGGAGCACTATGCTCGAAGTTGTTGACGAGTACGTTTACCTGGGACAAATAGTCCGACTAGGTAAGTCCAACTTCGACCGAGAGGTCAATCGACGGATTCAACTCGGCTGGGCAGCGTTCGGGAAATTACGACACATCTTCTCGTCGGGTATACCTCAATCTCTGAAAACTAAAGTGTATAACCAGTGCTTGTTGCCAGTGATGACTTACGGATCTGAGACGTGGTCCTTCACCGCTGGCCGCATGAGGACGCTCAAGCGACGGAGTTCCTCTGCGTGATAGACTCAGAAATGAGGATATCCGCAGTAAAACCAGAGTGACCGACATAGCCCAACGGATTAGTAAGCTGAAGTGGCAATGGGCCGGCCATATAGCTCGAAGAACCGATAACCGATGGGGAAGAAAGGTTCTCGAGTGGCAGCCTCGTACCGATAGGCGTAGTGTAGGGCGACCCCCCACTAGATGGAGTGACGACCTGGTAAGACATGCAGGAAGTCGATATGTCGATGAAATAATAAGTCTATGTGTAATATTTTTGACACCGTAATGTTGTAGTTTCCTGATTAATATCTCACAATGAACACAATCGAAAGCCTTGGAAAGATCACAAAAATACCTAAAGCATCTAGTGAACTCTCCCAGGCATTAAAAATATATTTTATAAGCTCGACAACTGCGTCAGTCGTCGAGCGACCTCTTGTGAAACCAAATTGATTTTTATGGAGTGATTTATTTTTGTTAAAAAATTAACATCTGATCTAAAATTATTTTTTCAAAAATTTTACTGAGAGTTGGTAGTATAGAAATAGTCTAAAATTAGCGGGGTTCAATGTACTATCAGATTTAAATAAAGGTATTACTTTACTTTGTTTCATTAAATCAGGAAACACACCAGATTCGATACAAGTATTAAAAATAATACCAAGATGAGGTGCAATTAAATCTATTATGGACCCAATAACTGTAACTGAAAATATATAACCCCAATAACTGTGAAATATTTCTCAAACACCGCTGCGACTTCTTAATTTGATCTAGTCAATTCATTATTAATTTTCAATTATAATTTGTGTAACGAGGTTTTTTTACCGGTTTCGCTATTGATTATAT